TCACCATTTTTCTCAGTAAATATATTTCTAAAGGTGCTGTTGACATTTTTCAACCAGATGTCGGTAACAACCCAAGTAATCCATACATACAAAGAAAGCAATACAAATAAGTTCAGAAATTAAGTTCTGTGTAATAAAGTAGAATGACACAGGGAAAAAGTATTGAAAACATGAAGGAAGGGAGGTGCAAAAAGGCATGAAAAGCCAAGACGCCAGCTGAAATCTAATAAAGCCAAGACACCAGCTGAAATCTATCAGTAATTAGAAAGCAATCCTGCCCCTTGTCAGTGGAAATTAATATTAGCTGGTTCAGTACCAACTGATGGCCTATAAAAAGGTGTCTCATCTCAAAGGTGTCTCAACATTTCATGATGGGTAAAAGCAAAGAGCTTTCTCAAGACCTTCGCAACCTTATTGTTGCAAAATATACTGATGGCATTTGTTACAGAAGCGTTTCTATACTTCTGAATGTTCCAGTGAGCACTGTAGGGGCCATAATCCGGAAGTAAAGAACATCATTTTACCATAAACCAGCCATGATCAGGTGCTCCTCACAAGATTTCTGACAGAGGAGTGAAAATAATTATCATAAGAGCCAAGGACCACTTGTGGAGGGCTTCAGAAAGAACTGGAATTAGCATGTGCAATTGTTTCAAAGAAAATAGTCTGGTCAGATGAGACAAAAATTTTACTCTTTGGATGCCATAATACACACCATGCTTGGAAATCAAATGGCACTGCACATCACCCCAAAACATCATGGTGTAGCACTGGCAAAATTCATATAATTGATGGAAGGATGAATGGAAAAATGTACCGAGACATTCTTGATAAAAATCTGCTGCCATCTACCAGGATGGTGAAGATGAAATGAGGGTGGACATTCCAGCGAGACAACGATCCCAAACACACAGCCAAGGAAACTCGAATCCTTGAATCCAATAGAAAATCTATGGAAAGAACTAAAGATTAGAGTTCATAGAAGAGGTCCACAGAACCTTCAAGGTTTGAAGACTGTTTGTGTGGAAGAATGGGCCAAAATCACACCTGAGCAATAGTTTCTCCATACAGGAGGCATCTTGAAGCTTTCATTACTAACAAAGGCTTTTGTATGAAGTATTAAATACATTTCAGTAAGTGTGTTCAATACTTTTTCCCTATATCATTCAATTTTATTACACAGAACTTATTTTCTGAACTTATTTGTTTTGTTTTCTTTGTATGTATGGATTACTTGGGTTGTTACTGACATCTGGTAAAAATTTCATGTCAACAGCACCTTTAGAAATATATTTACTGAGAAAAATGGTGACGTGTTCAATACTTATTTTACCTGCTGTAAAACAAAACTGCTTTTGGGTGACTGATATGACTGATGAATTCATTTTAGATAAGTGATGATTTTAAGCACATTTTTTTTAACTACAGTTCATTACAATACAGTTCTATGTGTAGAAACGTTTTAATGAAGGGAAAAAACTACTGAGTGCACCTTTGAAACAGAAAGTAGCAGCTTTGTGTATATGTCAGCTTAGATTACATAACTGAAGTAAAATATCAGATATTAAAGAAGCGTAAATAAACCAATAAGCCCATTGCTGACATAAAAAAAATAGTGCTTTGGTAAATCATAATTTTGACAAAATTATAGGAAGTCATTATGGGATAAAAACTCAAAATTATGACAAAAAGTCCACATTTACATACTAAATTATGAAAGTCGAAATTGACATACTAAGTCAGTTATGAGATAAGTCATAATTATGGCCTCATAGTCATTATAGACTTTATAGACATCAGTCAATTATAGACATTATAGACTTTGTCAATAGCCCTATTCGCACGGGATTAGTATTACCTGGTGACCTCTAGTCATTTGTAATAATTGCGGAGGTTGTCTGTGATCTTAATCCCGTGCAAATCAGTTATGTCTGTAATTTGTAAAAATTCCCCAGCAAATGACCTACCATATTTCGCCGAACACCGAGGTCCTGTGATAATATTAGTCCCGTGTGAATCGGCATCTCTGTAATTTGGCCTCAATTTGGTGGGGTCGTTTATAATTTTTTTATCAATTTCTAAATCACACGAGGTCCCCAGATAATAGTAATCCCGTGCGAATAGGGCTAATGTTGACTTAATTGTCACAATTGTGACTTACTATCTCATAATTTCAACTTTTTGTCATAATTACTTTGTATCTCATAATGACTTTTAATGTCATAATTATAATTTACTAAAGCTTTTTTTTTGTGGCAGAAATGGTACAGGATGAGATAAACGTAACGTCTGTAAACATCTATGAGCTAGTGTCTGTGTAGTGACCCATATGTAGATTCTAATATAACATGTGAAATACAGTATAGTGTTAAATGCTTCAATGGCAGGTTAGCACAAAGGTATTTATTAAGTATATATGATTAGCTTAAAAGATTATTACTTCAGGGGTGTTGTGTATTGTGGTAGACATCTATAAACGCTTTGCTCCCATTTGGGATATTGTCATTGTTTCATAAAGCCACCAGACATCCTCTGTGTCTCTGTAGTCTGCTCTTGGTGGAAGTGTTTAACATGCTGTTGTAGACATATTAACTTGATTGTGTGTGTATGTGTGTGTGTGTGTGTCACCTTGAATTTTTCTGGGTGGTGTACAAATGGTTGGGTATATATGAGTGTGTGTGCCTCCCCATGAACACGCATATGTGTGTCTTTGTCATGCTGAAAAAGGGCCTCCAAAACACTGAAGATAACGCCAGGATTTCGATCACGTTCTTTCGGCTGTTTCGCGTGATGAGGCTGGTGAAGCTTCTGTCTCGGGGAGAGGGCATTCGGACGCTGCTCTGGACCTTCATTAAATCCTTTCAGGTGAGGAGAATGAAATGAGACAGCACTTTCTTGTGTAATTGTACAGAGATAGTTGTACTGTGGTCCAGACTTTATACCTAAGTCAAAGTCAGGCTTTGTGAGCAATTAAACACCAGAAGACAATCTACAGACTAACAAACAAGTTTGTGTTATTATTATATGACTACACTGGATACAAGCAGCATGTTGTGACAATAAATTGTTAATTTGCATTATATTTAATAGGGATGCACCGATATGAAAATTTTGGCCGATACCGATAACCGATTATTCTTTATTTTTGAAAGCCGATAACCGATATGTTGGCCGATAAATCTATATCCAAATTGTTATATACTTTTTGAGAGCCTGATTACAAAAAAGGGCTCATCATTAAAAGCCACATCCCAAACACTTCAACATAAGCAGCCTAGTTTGAACGGTGTACATTTTAAAAATATTTTTACTCTCCCATTACCAAATTTAGTCATAAAAAAGCCTTACAAATAAATAAAATTATGCATAAATAATGCAAACAAGTCACTGGACATCATTACACGTGTAAAGAATCAAAATGAATGCGCCACAGATCAATAAAACGGAATAGCCTCTGCACGGACAATAATTAAATGATTTTAATTACTAAACCATATTGTTGATGAAAATAATAAGAGAAAAATACAAGTGGTTGTTGTTATTAATAATATATCAATGATTTTGAAAAAGTAACAAATTAATACCACTGTTTTAAATAGCAGCCATTGAGCTGCAGCTCAAGCTGAAGCTGAAGAGCTGAATGAACACGGTAAACTGAAGCGTTTTGCTGGCAGCTTATTTAACTCAAGGAAATGCATCCTGAGATTAATATTAATACAACATAAACATAATATTACAACTTATATATGAAATGACAAATGACGCAGTTATTGCATGCTATAGTCAGAATGTGTGATCCTGTTGTGGATGCGCTCTTCCCATAACAACGCGCTGAAACACAGCAACTAAACCCAAAGAATTCACAACGTTTTATTATAATAATGTTCTCATTAGAATGTTATATACACAACATTCCCAATCATAGTTATTAATGTTGTGCACTGCTGTTTGAGCTGCGTGCGCTGAGCTAAAGACGATCACCGGTAAACTGAAGCGCTCTTTTAACTTAACCAAACGCATTCTATATGAGATAAATCAGATATACATCAAATAAACACAATATTACAACGTACAATTGCACAAAAGGCTGCAAACGAACAGCGCGCATCTGAAGTGTCTCTGAAGGAAATAATGCATTATTTATCGGCTTTAAGATATCGGCCAAATTTTCTTATCAGGCCGATACCGATAACAGAAAAAATGAGCAGATATCGATATGGTGGCCGATATATCGTGCATCCCTAAAAAATACAACTGTTAGTTCATGTTAGCTCAGGTCCTTTAAACAATATGAACAAATACGACGTTTGAGTTTAATAATGTATTAGTAAATGTTGAAATTAACTAAGATTAATGAAGGTTTTAGAAGTATTTTCATTCTTAGTTCATGTTTACTATGCAGTTAATTAATATTAACAAACAGAATATTATTGTAAACTGCTACCACAATACTAAAATAACACAGGTTTGTAATAACTAGCTAGTATTGCTGATAAAAGCATTCTCCGCAATCTTTCTTTCCAGTTTGTAAATCCTGCACTGCAAAAAAAAAAATGTTTTTTTTGTCTTGTTTCCAGCCAGAATATCTAAAAATTCTTAAATCAAGAAGGACAAATTATTGTCTGGTTTTCAGAAAAAACATGTCAAAATTAAGTGAGTTTTTGCTTAGAACAAACACAATAATCTTATTTCAAACAGAAAACAAGATTATTTTGTTTACCCCATTGGCAGATTATTTTGCTTGTTTCAGGCAAAAACTCACTTAATTTTGACATGTTTTTTCTGAAAACCAGACAATAATTTGTCCTTCTTGATTTAAGAATTTTTAGATATTCTGGCTGGAAACAAGACAAAAAAAACATTTTTTTTTTTGCAGTGCAGGATTTACAAACTGGAAAGAAAGATTGCGGAGAATGCTTTTATCAGCAATACTAGCTAGTTATTACAAACCTGTGTTATTTTAGTATTGTGGTAGCAGTTTACAATAATATTCTGTTTGTTAATATTAATTAACTGCATAGTAAACATGAACTAAGAATGAAAATACTTCTAAAACCTTCATTAATCTTAGTTAATTTCAACATTTACTAATACATTATTAAACTCAAACGTCGTATTTGTTCATATTGTTTAAAGGACCTGAGCTAACATGAACTAACAGTTGTATTTTTTAGGGATGCACGATATATCGGCCACCATATCGATATCTGCTCATTTTTTCTGTTATCGGTATCGGCCTGATAAGAAAATTTGGCCGATATCTTAAAGCCGATAAATAATGCATTATTTCCTTCAGAGACACTTCAGATGCGCGCTGTTCGTTTGCAGCCTTTTGTGCAATTGTACGTTGTAATATTGTGTTTATTTGATGTATATCTGATTTATCTCATATAGAATGCGTTTGGTTAAGTTAAAAGAGCGCTTCAGTTTACCGGTGATCGTCTTTAGCTCAGCGCACGCAGCTCAAACAGCAGTGCACAACATTAATAACTATGATTGGGAATGTTGTGTATATAACATTCTAATGAGAACATTATTATAATAAAACGTTGTGAATTCTTTGGGTTTAGTTGCTGTGTTTCAGCGCGTTGTTATGGGAAGAGCGCATCCACAACAGGATCACACATTCTGACTATAGCATGCAATAACTGCGTCATTTGTCATTTCATATATAAGTTGTAATATTATGTTTATGTTGTATTAATATTAATCTCAGGATGCATTTCCTTGAGTTAAATAAGCTGCCAGCAAAACGCTTCAGTTTACCGTGTTCATTCAGCTCTTCAGCTTCAGCTTGAGCTGCAGCTCAATGGCTGCTATTTAAAACAGTGGTATTAATTTGTTACTTTTTCAAAATCATTGATATATTATTAATAACAACAACCACTTGTATTTTTCTCTTATTATTTTCATCAACAATATGGTTTAGTAATTAAAATCATTTAATTATTGTCCGTGCAGAGGCTATTCCGTTTTATTGATCTGTGGCGCATTCATTTTGATTCTTTACACGTGTAATGATGTCCAGTGACTTGTTTGCATTATTTATGCATAATTTTATTTATTTGTAAGGCTTTTTTATGACTAAATTTGGTAATGGGAGAGTAAAAATATTTTTAAAATGTACACCGTTCAAACTAGGCTGCTTATGTTGAAGTGTTTGGGATGTGGCTTTTAATGATGAGCCCTTTTTTGTAATCAGGCTCTCAAAAAGTATATAACAATTTGGATATAGATTTATCGGCCAACATATCGGTTATCGGCTTTCAAAAATAAAGAATAATCGGTTATCGGTATCGGCCAAAATTTTCATATCGGTGCATCCCTATTAAATATAATGCAAATTAACAATTTATTGTCACAACATGCTGCTTGTATCCAGTGTAGTCATATAATAATAACACAAACTTGTTTGTTAGTCTGTAGATTGTCTTCTGGTGTTTAATTGCTCACAAAGCCTGACTTTGACTTAGGTATAAAGTCTGGACCACAGTACAACTATCTCTGTACAATTACACAAGAAAGTGCTGTCTCATTTCATTCTCCTCACCTGAAAGGATTTAATGAAGGTCCAGAGCAGCGTCCGAATGCCCTCTCCCCGAGACAGAAGCTTCACCAGCCTCATCACGCGAAACAGCCGAAAGAACGTGATCGAAATCCTGGCGTTATCTTCAGTGTTTTGGAGGCCCTTTTTCAGCATGACAAAGACACACATATGCGTGTTCATGGGGAGGCACACACACTCATATATACCCAACCATTTGTACACCACCCAGAAAAATTCAAGGTGACACACACACACACACATACACACACAATCAAGTTAATATGTCTACAACAGCATGTTAAACACTTCCACCAAGAGCAGACTACAGAGACACAGAGGATGTCTGGTGGCTTTATGAAACAATGACAATATCCCAAATGGGAGCAAAGCGTTTATAGATGTCTACCACAATACACAACACCCCTGAAGTAATAATCTTTTAAGCTAATCATATATACTTAATAAATACCTTTGTGCTAACCTGCCATTGAAGCATTTAACACTATACTGTATTTCACATGTTATATTAGAATCTACATATGGGTCACTACACAGACACTAGCTCATAGATGTTTACAGACGTTACGTTTATCTCATCCTGTACCATTTCTGCCACAAAAAAAAAGCTTTAGTAAATTATAATTATGACATTAAAAGTCATTATGAGATACAAAGTAATTATGACAAAAAGTTGAAATTATGAGATAGTAAGTCACAATTGTGACAATTAAGTCAACATTAGCCCTATTCGCACGGGATTACTATTATCTGGGGACCTCGTGTGATTTAGAAATTGATAAAAAAATTATAAACGACCCCACCAAATTGAGGCCAAATTACAGAGATGCCGATTCACACGGGACTAATATTATCACAGGACCTCGGTGTTCGGCGAAATATGGTAGGTCATTTGCTGGGGAATTTTTACAAATTACAGACATAACTGATTTGCACGGGATTAAGATCACAGACAACCTCCGCAATTATTACAAATGACTAGAGGTCACCAGGTAATACTAATCCCGTGCGAATAGGGCTATTGACAAAGTCTATAATGTCTATAATTGACTGATGTCTATAAAGTCTATAATGACTATGAGGCCATAATTATGACTTATCTCATAACTGACTTAGTATGTCAATTTCGACTTTCATAATTTAGTATGTAAATGTGGACTTTTTGTCATAATTTTGAGTTTTTATCCCATAATGACTTCCTATAATTTTGTCAAAATTATGATTTACCAAAGCACTATTTTTTTTATGTCAGCAATGGGCTTATTGGTTTATTTACGCTTCTTTAATATCTGATATTTTA